GGGGGGGCGGGGGGGGGGTCGACTCGAATAAATTAGTGTCGATTGGCAAATTTGTATCAAAGCAAAATCAAGGCCAGTATCCCGATACATCAATACAATCTATGAGTCAGCAAGGCAATGGAGGGAAAAAAACCCGTCTTAAATATTCCGTGAAACGTCTTTTCGTTGAGCATTTAGTGGATGGCGCAGTAGCTCGTGAAAGCATATCATGCTGCTGTTGTGTCGTCCTTGACAATTGTGTGACAAAACTGCAATTGCACCTGATGGATTTTTTTTCCATTTAGCAGACCCAACTGAAACAATAGGAGAGGCATTTACAGCTGCGGCCAAATGACAGCCCCCCCCCACCTCATGTCATGTTCTTAAAAGTGTCTCGCTATTATTGTTGGCTAGTCAAGTAATGAATACAAAGTGGATGCTTCAGCGGAGGCGCGCAGGAGCCACTTAATTTATTGTTTTAGCAGAACATTTGATTATAGTCTGCGCGCCTCCCACCAATAATTCTTGCTGATGGAGAGCCGTTGTTTAAGATAACACCAGACGTGTTTACGCGGCGAGGCCTCCAGTAGCCCATCTGTGACTGTGACATCACCCGAAATCCCCCCCCGACGGCTTGGCAGAGGCGTTCCGTCCGCGCAGTTGCTAACCTTAAACGCTGCGATAAATTATTTGCGTTTTTTGGGAGGTGCTTTTCTGCGGAAAAACGTCACCTTCTTCTTGCATGTTGTCGGCTATGAAGTTGAACCGCATTTGTCTTTTTTTGGTTTTGTTTTACTTTGCCTCTCACAGAGCTCTTCAACGTTCCATGAACTCATGCGCTAAACATTCTCTTGGATGCCGCGCTCGCTAATGTGTTATGTCGACCTCATTTACGATGGCATTGTTAAATCACGCGCACAAAAACAATTGAGCTGAACTTCTGCCCATCGAGACTTTATTTTACTGGATGATATCCCGTAATGAAAAGAGAAAAAAAGGGGCTGAGGAGGGCTGACGTAGACAGCGAGGGCTCAGCATTCACCACATCCCGTTTCCAGCGTTTCTTGATAGCGCAAACAAACGCCCAACAGCGGCGCCTGGAGGTACAAGCCGACATTCTGCCAATTTAATTTTCGCTTTGACTTGCAAGTGCAAACTTGACAAGCAGCCGTTTGGCGAATCCTTCCCGTCAGGTTGTGGGACAACATGACCCGCTTCACAACAAATATTCGCCTTTTGCTGTGAAACTTGCCACCGAAAGACGAAAAGAAACGCTTCATTCTGACATGACTGCATTTGATCACGTTTAGCATGACGGAGTGTAACAGCTTCACACAACCCGATTCAATTTTAAATTTCACACAAAGCAGGACAATCAATTCCATCGGCAGCTTTTCAAATCGTATATTTGCGCTGCAACTCCGGCGGGTCGTGTTTGCCAGCGAAAAACATTTGCCTTCCATAAAATGTTCCTCGCCGTGTTAGCTTTAGCATTAGTCCTCACTCATCCTTGGGATCCTCAGCCTCCCACAAGTATTTTTATTTGACAAACGGCGGACCTCGCACAACAATCACTTCACGCCTCGCTCTCTCTTTTTTTTTTTTTTTTTTTTTTTTTGTTTTGTTTTTCCACCTCCGCGTCCAAGTCGGACCGCTTGGCTTTTGCAGCCGCTTGGCTCAAAAGTGCCGAGTCGGCGCAAACCCGGGCCAGCCGGAGTAGCCTCTATGCAGGCCATCCATCCAGCCGGATGGACGTCTCCCATGGCGACGTCGGTGAGATTGAAAGAGGCGAGGGTCAGGGTGAGCGTTGCCGTTATAATTCATTCATGACTTTTGTCAGCTGGATGTTATTACTTGGGAAGGAAATCTTGCGGGGCACCTTCCAGATTTACCCGCATTAGGCGAACATTTGAATTGATTAACGGTGATGTCGTGACAGCGTGTTAAGATCGCCTCAACTGGCTTTTTACTGGGAGCGCTATTAAAATCCAGACCTGTTGTGTTTGCTTTGCGTCTGTTGGCGCTCGCGCAATGAAACGTGACAAATCCACTTAATCTGCCCTTTCCGGCCGATTTAAACGTCTGATGACCAAATGAGGATTTACGTAGCAGACTCGTTGGAAACAGTCAAGCTAATTGTAATTGTGGCCGCTAATCGCATGAAGATGAGCAACCGAGTGGCAGCTGGTGGTCCGGAGTGGTGACTGACTTGACTAAATCACATGGGCCCTTTTTTTTTTTTTTTTTTTTTTAGACTGATCGTACAATATACCAGTACTAGTATTCTCTCTGATGACACACCGATACCGAGTGCCGCTGCTTCTGGTACTTTTGATGTCTAAAATTGTGAAGCGAGACCCTTCTTTCTGGCGCAGATGTTGATTCGCCGATGCGTAAATGTGCCGCTAAAATAGAGCAAACTACTGCTGAGGAGGATTTTACTCAAGATCTGATTTTTTTTTTTTTCTTCTCTCCTTAAGTATCGGGATCACCTTACCTGGTAACAGTACTCGCCCATCCCTCACACAAAACTTGGCTGAGATTCATAAAGCCATACTGTGGCCACCCTCTCTCATCTGGGACAGACTTGAGTGCGAACAGGAAATGACGGGCCGCTTCGCAAAGATCTTCCAGCCTGGAAGCGGAGTTAATGTGTTCATGTGGGCAGATGCGGAAAAGCGAAATCTGACATCACTTTCCTCGCTTTCCCCCTCTCGACCGCAAGCTCTGCTCACTCGGTGATGATTCCCAGGAACGTTGCGGTGGAGTCGCCGAGGAGGGAAGACGAGAGAGTGACGCTATTAAAGGTTGGGGTGTGAAAGCAGTGAGGATTTATTTCGCCGGGTCGACTAATCGCCAAAACGGCGACGCGACTCACGTGACCTCAGTGTTTTCGGTAGTTCAATGATTCCACACAAACAAATCCCCTTCACGTGAGGCTCATTGATAGTATTAGCAAGCGCGCTCGCTAGCACAAAAGGGGGATGAACAAGTTGTTAATGCAGTTGGAATATTTTTCTATTTTTGGGAGGTGAGGTGCCGTGGACGAATCGCTTCATAGTAATGTTGGGAGGAGAGACGCCATCCATCCAGCATGCGCACAATGATGAAGCCACGTTCCATAGAGATTGTATTCGCTAGTTGAATGGTTCAACGCAAACCAACCTCCGAATCCCCATCGAAAAATCGCAGCGGCACACGGTTCGAAAAGGAGTGAAGGATTCCAAGCACATCCCAGCCTCAGCGGCTGAGTGGGAGACGGGGAGGGGAGACGCGCGGAGGCAGCGGCTCTCGCTGACCTCACTTTTGAAAGACACTCTCTCACTCCCGCTCTCGCTCTCCATTTCTGCATCACTCTCGCAGTCGCAAACCAGCCGAGCGGCGACACCGAGGAGCCGAGACCTCGCCGGAAATTCTGCGGAGCATCATGCTGTCATCTTCTTCCGCGCACGCGTGAGGGACGCTTTGCCGCGAGTGACAAGAAGGCTGTACGGTAGGACAGCTGTCATTTTACACACAAAGAAAAAGCACTTGCTAGTCTTGCGGTTGTTCTCAAAGTCAAGTGCCCAGCAGACCAGGGTGAACGCCGTCTGGAGCACATAACCTCACTTGATTCATGTTTGACGTTTTTCTTGAAAATATTTCATGAATTTGAAGTGTATTCTCATTTCAAGACTTGAAAGTTATGTAAATGCATACATTTTTACATGAGATTCGCAAGCAACTATTTCAGGCGCTACAAAAATCAAAAAAAATATATACATTTTCTTTTTCTCGTAAGATTGCAAAAGTGCAAAGGAAACCACGTTGGAAAGTTGGAAAATACAATTTTCAATGTTTCCCCGGTGGAGGTTGACTGCGGCAACAAAAAAAAAGAAACAAGCAAGCATGGAGTCCATTAGCGCTGCTTAGTGGAGCCTCAATCTGGCTTAGTGTGGTTTTAATGTTGACTCTGATCCTCTCATCAGAGCTTTTCGAATGAAGCATGTTTTTGTCCCTTTCCAGCCGCTGTACTTCCATTCGCCCGGCCAGGCATAGATCAGCTCTGTCACCTTTTTGGGTCTCCCGGTGCGTCCCTGAATCTTTTTTAGACACAAATGTCATGGAAACCTCACTGAGAGAGGGACAAAAAGCCCATTGTCAGACCCTGCCCGACATGTGACAGCAATTTCCAAAGTGTTTTTTTTTTTGCAAATTCAAACATCCAACCTAAATTCAGCCAAACCATCTCGCTGCCCCCCAGAAAAAATACATGAAGTCTCCCCAAAGCATGTGGGAAAGTTTTCGAATGAGTCTTTTCAGATCTCAAGAGATTTTCTGGCAAATATTGCCTGTTTCCTCCAAGTGACAACAGTCTCCCAAATTCATTTTTCCATTCTTACAAAAAGAAGCAGCCCAGCCTGGCAAAACTTTGCAAAAAAGCCTCCAAAAACATGCAGGGAAGAAAAGACTTTTCAAATAGTCTTTTTGGACCTTGTGACTGCGTAAATTCTAAAATGGCTGCGGATCCGACACATACGACAACAATCTTCAAAATTATCAAAAAAAAACAACAAACAACAAAACAAAAAGGTAGGCTGTCTTCCATAAGCACTTTTCTGAATTTCTGTCAAGTAATGGCCGTGTCCCCATAGAAAGTCTCAAATACTTCCTGTGGGAAAATGCTTTAAAATGATTTTTTTTTTCTGGCCTCGGAGATCACATTGCTGTAGGAATTTCTGGCAAGTGTTCTCCATGTGACCACAATTGCTGATATTCTTTAAAAAAAATGGAGGCGTTTTCCAAAAGCATTTTGGAAAGGGCTTCACAAAGAAATCCTTGGAGCTGATCGGGTTTTTATTTGATTTTTTTCAGCAAATCCTAAATGTCAAAGTGAAATTTTCTTCAAGAATCACAAAACCTTGGGTTTCAGAGGGAAACTATCAAATCTGGCTAACTTTAGTGTAAAAAAAAAAAAAAATGAGAGAGAGAGAGAAAAGAAAAAAACCTGCCTTGAATTCTCCCAAACGCCTGCTTGCTAAAGAGTGTTTTCTAACTTTCTGGCAATTTACTGTCTGTTTCCTACATGTGACAACAATCTTCTGTATTCTTCAAACAGGTAGGCTAGAAGACAAATATACAAGCCTGGCTAAATCTAGCAACCAAAGAAAATGTAAAAAAACAAAATCCAAATAAAAAAACAGAGACTCCCCACAGCATGCCGGAAAATACTTTATCAAGAGAATTTCTGCGGGCAACATGTGACAGCAATCTCCCATGTAATGCCAGAGGCATGGCCAAAGGCCAAGACTCCGTCCATCTTCATTCCGAGTTTTCGTTTCTTCTCGGGTTGTGTGTGTCCATCGCACGTCCATCATGAGATACGCGAGCTGGTTTTGTGGGGTCAGTCCTGTATGGATTCCCTGCGCGCAAACTCCGTTTGAAGAGCCGCGGCGGGGGGCTGTCATCATGCGCTTCTTTTATGGCGTCAGAGAAGCATTCCATCAGTGGTGGATATCTTTAGGCTGACATTACAACTGGAACCGACTTGGAAGGCTGAGGATGGCTTTGATCTTCTCGCGAGCGGCCTTCTGCGAGTCCATCTCGACTCCGCTATCGTGCCCCTTCGGCGACTGTTCGATTGACCTTCCGCTCACTTTCTGTGCAGTGGCGCCTGAAGACACGCGGGAACCCAATTTACAAGTTTTTCACAATGCGAGCCGAGCCTCAAACAATTTGGATTTCTTTCTTTCTTTTTGCTTTGACGTGCAAGCAAAAATTTGAGATGCCAGCAAAGTTAGGTGGCGGTGAACTCAATTCACTTCACCACTTACAACAATCAGGTATGGATTACACGAAGAACAATAGACTGTCTTCCAATATTTTGTTGTCCTGTCGGATTTGTTTCATTTGTCACCCCAGAAAAAAATCGGCCAAATTTGGCGGATTTTTATCTCATTTTATTTATTTATATTTGCCAATTGTGTGTTTTGGAATACGATGTTCCGCCGAGTGTTTTTGGGCCAATTCAACAGCGCTGTCGTGGCCCAGAACCTGCGCACGGACAGAATTGTTCCGGTTTGACAGCATTGAGCAGGAAATGGAGAAATCTGGCAATGAGGTATTGCTTTGCCTCCCCGAATGGCATCCAGATGACTTCCAGATGCAATTTGGTGGAGTGGAAGTCGCAAGCTCAGTCGCACTTTTGTCACTTTCTAACAGCGGGAGACGCTGCCGCTTTGGCAGCCAGGCTGCGACGTTCCCTGCTTTCTCCTTTCCGGGCTGGAAACTTCTGCTTTGTCTGCCAGAGTGTGGGAAGCGACGGCAATCTCTGGTTTCTAGCTTGCTGAAGTCGACTCGCCCCGCGTCTGCTTTCCATGCCTCGTTCGCCTCGTTGACTTGCAAACTGCAGAGCAACGTTTTAGCGCCAGCCAGCAAGCTGACGGCACTTTGACCTCAGAGTCACCCCCTGCGACCGCTTTCCATCGCCACTCGCGCTTGCGTCTTCTCCAAATTTTTCACAGCGATTTAATGTCAACAAAAAACGGGGCAAGCGCTTTGATAATAATGACAGACAAATGAGTAAAAAGCCGCAATGTAAGGAGACAGTTGAAATCATCTGCCCCATCCAACTGTCGCCCAGCCACCTCTGACCACGCACATGATGCTTTTTGTCTTGCAGCAAAGAGTGATCCGGACCAAAACATGAAAAAAGAGTGCAATGTGTCTACTGCAAAGCAACAGCTAAGCACACGCGTCACCCAGCAGGCGAGGCCCGCCTATTGAAGCCACTCACGTTCAAAATTACAGACAGTCCAGTGTCGAACGCGAGGACCCCGCAACATTTTTTCTTGTCGCTTAATTGTTAAGTGGCGCAGAATCCATTTTTATCTGATAATCGCCAGAAGAGTTTCGCCTGAAAGCATTCTGTAGCCGAACTTGTAGCTCCAACTCGCTTTGAGCTTCTCTTGAATTTCATACGGTGGGGTCATCCAGCCAAATGCGCGGACCCGGAAAAAGGCAAGCCGGCTTTCCGAAGAGAAGTTCAAGGTTACGATGGGGTGAAAGGCCAAGACAATAAAATCTGGATGGCCCCATGAGAGGCCCGTCCGGCACACCTGAGCCTCAGCTCCGACTGTTTCTAGAAAATCAGCGGGCGCGCGTATTTCAGGCGGTGACAAGGGGCGAGCTGACAGGGCGCCCGTCACTCGGTGTGACAGACACACACAGAGGTTTCGTGATTGAAATGCAGCCTGGTTCTCCATTCCAGATCAACCGACGTTCCTCGGTCTCAAAGTGAAGCGCCATGGCCGCGAGAGTTCTTGTGATCTGCCTCCTCGCGAGCACCTCGCTCGGGTTCTCGGCTGCCGGCCTCGTGAAAAAAGTGCTCCGGCATCGCCGCCAGATGCCTCTGGAGCACAACGTCACCTCACCCGGAGCAGAGCGCCAGTCTGTGATCTTTAACCACGTCTACAACATCAACGTCCCCGCCAGCCACCTGTGCTCCGTCGACCTGGACGCCACAGAGAGCTCGGCGGAAACGGCCAGCACCTCCGGCCAGCACCTTTCCGCGGACGGGGAGAGCCAGATTATCTTCACCCACCGCATCAATATCCCTCGCGGGGCGTGCGGCTGCGCTGCCGACCTGCCGCGCATCAGCGACCTGATGAGCCGCATTGAGATGCTGGAGGGGGAAGTGTCGGCGTTGAGGAGGCGGTGCGGCGGTGGCGGGGACGTCGGTTGCGGTGCAACGGGGAATGCGAGGACCGGGCCCCTGTGCAGCGGACACGGAAACTACAGCGCGGAGACGTGCGGATGCGCGTGCGAGCCCGGCTGGAAGGGAAGCAACTGCACCGAGCTCGAGTGTCCCGAGGGTTTCTTTGGGGACGACTGCTCTCGCAGCATATGCCCGGACAACTGCAAAGATCGCGGGCGTTGTCAGGACGGCCGGTGTGTCTGCAAGGAGCCCTGGACCGGTTCGGACTGCTCCGAGATGCTCTGCCCCCAAGACTGCTTTGGGCGTGGGCTCTGCCTCAACGGAACCTGCCACTGTCACCCCGGGTTTTCCGGGGAGGACTGCGGGCGACTCACCTGTCCGGCCGACTGCCACGGTAACGGCATCTGCATCGACGGCCGCTGCGCCTGCGCGGCGGGTTACGGCGGTAGTTTGGGGGGGGGGCTCTGCCTCAACGGACCCTGCCACTGTCACCCCGGGTTTTCCGGGGAGGACTGCGGGCGACTCACCTGTCCGGCCGACTGCCACGGTAACGGCATCTGCATCGACGGCCGCTGCGCCTGCGCGGCGGGTTACGGCGGTGAAGACTGCTCCCGCCT